TTCCTCCCGGTGCCGGCACACAGGGCTCCCGCTGCTGGGCGGGCCCGGCCGCACTTTGATGTGAGGAAGCGCCCTGGGTTCCATTGTGGGYGGATGGGCTGAGCTCAGCTCCCCCAGCAMRGCCMGGCCCAGCTGCAAGGGCTGCAGCCATGCTGGGTGAGGGAGCCCCTCGGCCGAGAGCCGTGTCCCTCGATGCCCAGGCCATCAGGAAAGGCTGCAGCCCGTGTAATCAGTGCCCAGCAGCCGCCGCTGCGGGAGCCCGGGGCAGCCAGACAGGCTTGATGATAATKGTGCTTCCTGCTGGCACAGCCATGTCTGCAGATGGGCTCCACTGGTGTGAGGAGTAGAGCTGGGCCTGCCATAACACCGCTGGGCTTGTAAATCCCAGTGCTGGCAGCTCAGCTGGGAGTGCAGGGCTGCGGGGAGGGAGAGGTGCCTTTGAGGGGGCAGCACACCAAGCAGGCAGTTGTGGGTGTGGTGTTTAGCCCCATGTTCCCMCCCCTTTTCCCAGTCTCCTCAACAGCTCCTGCCCTGGCAGGGCACTGATGGCACCAGGCTGGTACAGACCCTGCTGCTGTGTGGAATCCTCAGGGCTTTGGTGAGGACAGGGATGCTGTGTGCSAGCCCTGATCTGGCTGTTGGAGGGCCCAGGCTCAACCATCATGGAGACCCACACAGCACTGAACGGGCACAGGGATGCTCCTGCCTCAGTGTCCCCTCCTGTCCCCCACAGGTGGCCTGGCTGGAGGGATCGAAATCTGCATCACATTCCCGACCGAGTATGTGAAGACGCAGCTGCAGCTGGACGAGAAGGCAAACCCTCCCCGCTACAAGGGCATCGGTGAGCAGGGGTTTGGGGCTCCCRGGGAGCCTGGCTGGAGCTGGGGGGATTTGCTGGGGCGGTGGCGGGTGGTSCTCGGCGTGGCGGGTGACGGCGGCGCCGCTGTGCTCTGCCGCAGGGGACTGTGTGAAGCAGACTGTCCGTGACCATGGCATCCGGGGGCTGTACCGGGGGCTCAGCTCGCTGTTGTACGGCTCCATCCCCAAGGCTGCCGTCAGGTACGTGCCCCCATGGCGTGGGGTGAGTGGGGGGGAYCCCCCAACAGCAGCAAACAAGGGGGTGGCTGTGTCCTTGGTGTCTCCATCGGCGTTTTACCAAAGCTGGGTGGTTTCCTGGGGAGGGAGGGCCCTCTCAGGGGTGTGCGGCTGCTCTTGGAGACAGACCCAGAGCAGGGGCTGCAGCCCTCTGTGCAGCCCAGGGGTTGGCACAGTGGCTCCTTTGCAGGTTCGGCATGTTCGAGTTCCTCAGCAACCAGATGCGAGATGAGCAGGGGCGGCTGGACAGCACACGGGGCCTCATCTGCGGGCTGGGGGCTGGCGTGGCCGAGGCCGTGGCCGTGGTCTGCCCCATGGAGACAGTGAAGGTGGGTGGCAGTGGCTGCCAGTGTCCCCTCCTTGGCACACATTGCTGGGCTGGGAGGGGCCAAAAGCCAGGGATGCCCAACTTTTGGGGAGCTGAGGGCTGTGTGCATTTGCTCAGGGCAGTTTTGTAGGGGAGGATCTGATCCTGGAAAGCCCTGTGGAAGGTCAGGTCAGGTGGCCCCAGCCCCTGCCCCCCTCTGGGGAGGAGCCCCACACCCAGGAGCTGTCCTGTCACCCATTTCATTACTCTAAGCCCCTCAAGGCTGCTTGCAGCGGCAGTTTATCAGATTCCGCTGCAAAATGCCCTGCTGGCCATCAGCACAGGTTTCCCCCATGATCCGTCCTGGAGCTGCCTAGCTGCATGGGTCGGCTCTGGTCTTGGGACTGTCCCTGGAGCAAGGCAGGAGGTGGCCAGCAGCCCTTTGGGACCATCACATCTGCATTACCTCAGCCAGGACAAGTGCATCATCTCCTCGTAGGTGAAGTTTATCCATGACCAGACCTCTCCCAACCCCAAGTACCGTGGTTTCTTCCATGGCGTCCGGGAGATCATTCGGGAACAGGGTGAGTCTCAGGGAAATGGCACCCCTGTTTCCTGGGTACTGCCATGCTGTGGGGACAGGGTGRCATGTGGCAGATGGGCACAGGCTGGGACAGGTGCCCTGGGGAGGTTTTTCCCTGCTGCTTGAGGCTGCTCTCCCCTCCAACACTCTSTTCTTGCAGGACTGAGGGGGACGTACCAGGGTTTAACTGCAACTGTCCTCAAGCAAGGATCAAACCAGGCCATCCGCTTCTTCGTCATGACCTCCCTCAAGAACTGGTACAAAGGTATGGTGCCCTTGTTCCCCCAGGCCACCCTGGCTGTGCCTGTGGCTCCTCAGCCTTGGGAGCTGGCATGGGGTTTCCATCAGCTTACCCCCTGCTTCTCATGGCTCAGCCACTCAGGGTGGAGGAAGATTAAAACCAGGGTGGAGTGGCCCCAGCCTGTAGGGCTGAGGGGTCTTGGTGCTGGAGCATCACTTTCATACCCACCCTGACCCCRTGGTGCAGCGTGGGCTCTGTGGGGCTGGTGGTGCTGGAAGGTCCCCAGCTCAGCACTGCACCCTGGCCACAAGCAGCCAGACCTGCGACCTTCCTTGCAGGTTCCTTCAGGAATGCATACAGGAATCCCTCCTCCACTGTGCTCTCAACCTCTYTTCTTTCCCAGGGGACAATCCCAACAAGGTCATGAACCCCTTAGTGACAGGGGTGTTTGGAGCCCTSGCTGGAGCTGCGAGTGTCTTTGGCAACACCCCTTTGGACGTGGTGAAGACCAGGATGCAGGTACGGTGCCAGGGCACTGTGGGACTGCTCTGCCTGCAGCAGCCTGGGGGCTCCCACTGCCTGGGAGCTGTGTCATGCAGTCCCTGGGGCATGTGATGCCAGTGGGGTTTGGTGTGGGAGATGTCTGGGATTGCTCCTGAGCCATGGGGAGTGTTTGTACGGAGGTGGGGACGTCCCTGCTGGCTTTGATGTCCTGGGGCAGCAGAGAGAGATCAGTTTCTCATGGCGCTGATCATGCCTTTCCCTTCCCACAGGGGCTGGAAGCACACAAGTACAAGAACACCTGGGACTGCGCCTACCAGATCATGAAACACGAAGGGCCCCTGGCGTAAGCTCTGCAGTGGGGGTGGCTGRGGGGAGGATGGGCAGGGAGGGGGCTGTGAGAGCACCCAGCCCCACGGCCCCCTCTCTGTCCCTGGCAGGTTTTACAAGGGCACAGTGCCTCGCTTGGGCCGTGTGTGTCTTGATGTGGCCATCGTCTTCATCATCTACGATGAGGTGGTCAAATTCCTCAACAAGGTGTGGAAAACGGACTGAGGGGCCGGGCCAGGCAGCCCCCGCCTCCCGCTCCCCGCAGGGCTGCAGCTGGAGAGCAGAGACCAAACCCAYACCCGCCTGCGGCGCTGCTGGGGCCAGGTCTGCCCTGCACACCCCAAACCTGGCCACCTTTATTTTTAGGAACAGGCTCTGGAGCAGGTTAAATTACTAGTTGTATGTTAAAAGGAGCAGGGAGGGAGCTGCATCCCACTATCCTGACCCCCAGCATCCCGGTTATGCCCACCCCCATCTCCTGGTGACACTTTCCCCTGGTCCCACATCMGCTGTGAGTGCTGGTTATCCAGGGCAAGGTGTCCTTCCAACAGTGGCCTCAGGGCTTCTGGCAGCCAGGAGCTGCTGTCTGCCTGGGGAACACCTCTTTTAGGGGTGCTGGGAGTGTCCTGGAGCCATGTGGGTGCAATGCTAAGCTGTACATCACAAGTTGATGGGGGCTGATGCCACCAGCAGGGTCACAGCAGCTCTGGGAGGAGCCCAACAGCCCTGCACCCCTTGGGATGGGAGGGCAGTGTCCCTCTGGTGTGACCCCCAAGCTCCCTCCTCCCTCCCTGCCAGCACCGAGACCACTGGAGTGTGACATCCCATCCCATCCCCGGGGTCCTGCTCAGCCCCGGGCTGCTGAACAGGGGCTGCCCAAAATTGCACATTCAGCCAGGCCTTTAGTTCTGCTCACTGTGGGCTGGGGTTGGGGTGAACCGGGTGCCCCTCACCTGCCGTTTACAGCCGAGATGTGGGTGCGAGCCAGGCGAGGAGGTGCAGCCCCACGCCGCAGGCTTGCCCCCTCGGCCAGGGGTGCAAAACCCCTTTCTTCTGCCACATTCCCTGCATCTGCCCTCCCGCCGCCTCTCCGTGGTGCCCTAGGTAATCCGTAGCTTTTGGAGCTTCACGCTGACTCACTAACACCCGTGGCCGTGGGGCTGGAGCCCTGCCCTGCCYGTGCCAGGCTGGCCCCACTGCATTTGTGCCAAATTTCTCCTGAGGGAGCTGGGGGTGCAGGATCCCGGGGCTCAACCCATCCTTCTTCCCTCTTGTAGCCAGCGATGAGCTCAGCCTTAACACAGGAGGGCGAAGGAGGAAAGCCCAGGTGTGGTTTACCTGCGGCTTTTGGCTCTGAAGCCAGTGAGGGTTGCATTAGGTTTTTTTTTTTATTATTATTCTGTTTTACATTCGCAATTTGAATAAAATCAGTCTGGCTTTAGCAGCTGCGTTGTTGTCTGGGCTGTGCTGAGTGGGCAGTGAGTGGCTCCTGTCCTGTGGGTGTGGGACGGGGCTCCCCATCGTGCCAGGATGGTGTTCCTGGGGGAGCATCAGCTCCGACCCAGCAGTGCCCATTCCCAGATGCTGCCAGGCACGGTTGTGTTGTTTCATGCACAGTGCTTTATTAATAATCCTGGTTAATTGTCTAAAGTCCTTTCCCTGCCATAGGGCTAGGGGCTGGGACGGCGAGGGGCGGTGGAGCAGAAGGGAACGGGCTTTGTCCCCCCGCCCAGCCCGGGGGCGGTGCGGCACGGCCRGAGCTCCCAGCCTGGCCACCGGCACAGCCCTCGCTGCTTGTCCGGTGTCCGCTGGTGCGGGACAGAGCCTCCCGCGGGGCTCGCAGGCTCCCGGTGCCATGCGGGGCCCGCTGCTCTGGGCGGGCTGGCTGCTGGCCACCGGCTGCCTGGTGGGTGCCACGGGCAGCTGCCGGCACCGCTGCTGCCCCGGCAGGAACAACGCGTGCTGGGCCCCTGGCGCCCGCCGGGCTCCCTGCTACTGCGACTCGTACTGCCAAAGGACCGGAGACTGCTGCCACGACTACCATGCCACGTGCCGCCGTGCCGGTGAGTGGCCGAGGGGGTGGCACTGGCCGGACTGGGGACCCAACCTGAGCTGGTGTTYGGTGGCGAGTGTTTGCTCTTACCTGTTAGCCCCGTGCTTTGGGTGGTAACAGGTTGTGTCTGGGGATGCCGGCTGGGCTGGGTTTGTGGCCATGTCCCAGCTGTCCCCTTTTCCATGCTGGATGTCTGACTGGCCCCAGTGCTGTGAGAGAGCCCGCAGGGGTTGCAGCTGATGGGAGTGCTGTCCCTGCAAGCCTGAGTGGTCAGTGTAGGACCCAGCAGGACAAGCCTCAGTGTCACCTCTGCTGCTGTCACAGGCAGTGCCTTGCATAGGGACAGGGGAACTGGGGGCTGCACTGAGGGTGCCAAACAGGACTCATGGGCTTGGGGGGTGCAGAGCCAGCCTGCCATGAGGACCCAAACCTGGGCAGGCAGGCGCCGGCCCCCTGGACAATTGCAGCCGTCAGCCCTTCCTAATCTCCGGGGAGATTAGCAGGGTCCCAGCTCAGCACGATGCAYGCAGGGATAAAGTCCTGCGGAAGCAGCTTACAATGCCCCTCCACTGGCAGGGGTCAGGGGAGAGGGGCTGCCAGGGTCACTCTGGCCCGTGTCCTTCCTCCGCTCTCCCTGTCTCCTGTGTTCCATCTCTCCTGCTCTGCCCTTGCCCTTGTTCATGACCCTGAAACTGTCGCTTTTCCCTCTCCATCCCTGGCAGCAGTGGGCTGTGCCGTGGGGCCCTGGGGGCCGTGGAGCGGGTGCAGCTCCCCGTGCGGGGTCGGCAGCAGGGCCCGCAGCCGCCAGGTCACGGTCCCGCCCCGGCACGGAGGGGATCCCTGCCCTGACCTCAAGCAGCGCCGTGGCTGYCTGGGGCAGCACCCGACCTGCGGCACGGCCAAAGGTAACGTGGGCTGCCCGCCGCCCTCCTGCGCGGTTGTCTCCAAGTGCTGCCGTTCACACTGCCCGGCCCGGGGTGTCTTTAATCATCCCCGTGCCCCTCACAGCTGCTCTTCTGCCAGAGGTAGCCAAGATACTGCCCAACTCCTTCAGCCAGGACTTCAGAGATCCCTGGCGAAGAGCTGGGCTGCCACTGCCAGAGGAGCCCTCTGGGTATGTGTGGAATTGGGGCCCGTCTGTAGCCTCCCTCCCCAAATGTGGGATCCCTCTGCACCCCCTGCAGTCATGRCCCCTTTGCTACCCCTAGACCAGCACCTTTATGCTCCCCCAGCCATTWCTCTTCTCCCTCCCCAAACCATGGCCCCATTGCACCCCTGTACAAAACCATGGCCCTTCGCATCCCCCTAGAACCATTATCCTTCCCACCCTCCGAACCACAATCCCTTTGCACCCCCTAAACCCACAGCCCCTCTGCACCCCCAGAGCCATTACCCTTCTCACCTCCCCAACCAAGGCTGCCCCTTTGAACTCACATCCCCTTTATACCCTAACCATAAAAAAACACCACAACCTCTGCCCTGCCTTCCGACCTCCATTTTCCCTCTTTTCTCCCCCCATTTTGCCCCCTCCCCAGCTCTTCCCTCCCCAGCTACTGCGGCTATTTCCGCCTGACGCGGGTGGGATCCCCGTGCCGAGGGCGAGCCTGGAGCCGCCGGCTGCAGCKGGACAAGCAGGTGTGTGTGGAATGCTGGGGGAACCTGTCCCACCGCCGTCCCCGCTGCACAGGACACGGCCTGCAAGGAGCCAGGTACGGGTGTTTTGTGGCATCCCCACCACGGGATCTCTCCTAAGGAACACCTCTCCCTGCCTCTAAGGCATTCTCCTTTTATAGTCTAATTATCATTAATTTGTATATAAAACCATAATTATGTTAAAATGCACCACAAAATTACAGTATACCATCATATTATTAAATAAATCAATAACATGTTCTATCAACCAATATTACAAAATAAAAATATATGTATTTAAATAGAATTGAGTATCTCTGTTGGAAAGGACATACAATGATTATCTAGTCTGACTGCTGTTATATATGTAATATAAATGCATATATAAAACTATATTTAATTTTTTTAATTGTATTCACTAATAGTACACCCCGGTTCCCACTGATTTTCCCTTCCAGGACATTTTGGGTGGCTGCTTCTGTGGTGGGGTGCCAGGGCTCGTGGGTGCAGGAGGGYCTGCAGGAGGGCTGTGTCTGCTCCCCCCCAGCTCTCATCTTCATTTAAGATTCCCCTAGAAAGGTGAGTATAGCCTTCCCATGGCACCCTCCTTGCTGGGGAGGCAGGAAATGAAATAAAAATGTGGCGTCTTTCATAATTTCATCTTTCTACAGGTTTGCTGCTCACTCTCGGAGCCAACTCCCAGTGTTTTTCATTAAATATTTTGTCCAAAACTCTATAATAAAGATTAAAAATAAGAGAATTGCTGAAGTGTGGTGATTAATGGTAGAAGAAGAGCACGATGAGGTTAAGTCTGGGTGAGAAGATATGTGGGGTGGTGATGTCACCCTCAGCCATGACATACTGTGCCGTGAGCTGCGACTGGCAAGCAGCATGAGGATGGAGGCAGCATCCTTCATGTCTGAGCTCACTGCCTGCAGGATCAGGTGAGCCAAGCAGGGTGGCAGGGGTGCAGAAATTAAATGGAGACATCCGAAATCTGCACATGGGTGATGGTGTCCAGTTCCAGCCATGGGGCTCAGCTGCCCCCACTGGAGGGATGATGCAGGGCTGGGTGGTGCTGCTGCCCTTCCCCAGCCCTCGGATCCCTGYTCCAGCTTTGGGTGGTGGTACCACAGCCCGTGGTGGGAGCAAGTGCCATGCCAGGGCTGGATCCTGCCCCACTGCAGCTGGTGGCTGCTGCCTGTTTGCTGCCCCAGGACATGTTTGGCTCCTGCAAGCCCCTCTCACACCTCCCTCCTGGGCAGGGAATTGAAAGGCTTCAAAACTGGGAATGTTCTTGGCCTCTTTATTTGGGATAAAAGCCCAGGTTGGTCAYGGACCAAAGTGCTGGTTAAAAAATCAGGTGGTGGGAGCTGAGCACGAGGGGTGTCACAGCTCTGGGGYGCAGTCCCATCCTGCCAGCCAGAGCTGAGGGCAGGGAAGCCATGGACATGGCTCAGGGCAGGGATGCACYGCAGTTCTCACCTGGAGATTTGGAACTCACTGGGAGCAAAGTGAGTGTGTCCCGCACTGTGAGTGCAGTTCTCCTGAGTTACACCCCCAAACCTGCTGGTCAGGGAGAGCATCCAGCAAAGGGAGTGACACGGCTGCAGCATTTTGTGTCACACTGCTGCATGCCTGGGGCTGTCAGCCCCAGAGGGCAGTCCCAGCTCTCCTGGTGCATTGTCCTGATTTGGCACAGGGGCCAGCCCGTGCTGCACCAGCAGTTCCTGCACCAGCTCCAGCTCCTGCTCCAACTCCTGCGTGCCACAGCCCAGCCCTTGCACGGCTGTGGCACCTTCCCCCAGCACCTGCAGCACCCGTGCCACCAGCTGGGCCCTCACCAGCAGCACGGCCAGGGCTGTGTGGAGCCTGGCACAGCCCAGCGCCTTCATCCACCATTGGGCAGCGCTCCCTGCGGAGAGAGCGGGTGAAGGAGTGTGAGTGGGGCGGGGTTCCCCTGGGCAGAGCTGGCCTGGGGGACAAGGACACCATGTGCTCGTCCCAGGCACTCCACRCTGGCCGTACCTTGGCTCCAGCAGTGTTTGCAGTAGCGCAGGTCCCTCAGCACACCAGGGCCCGTGGTCTCCAGCCAGCGCAGAGCCGAGGCATGGAGCGAGCTGCCAGCAGGTGCCTTCTCCAGGAGCTGCACCAGGACAGGGAGCAGCTGCCGGGCCAGGACAGCTGGCTCTGCAAAAACGTTGGGCTCATCCTCCTTGTACAGGCTGGCAGCTCTGGGGGGAAAGCTGAGGTGTGAGTGAAGCTGAGGGTGTCCCCATGCTACCCACCCCACACTGCCTCATGCCAGCCCAGTGCTCACTTGTTGGCCTCCAGCTCCTCCATGATGCTCCTGAGATCCAAGACGGGGATGTGCTSAAGCAGTGAGGTGAAGGTCTCAGGGTGCTCCCCGAACTCTCCCAGAAGGAGCTGCAGGAGGCTCTGGAGCCCCACGTTGTCCTGCACAAAGATGCAGCCATCTTGGGGTGGCTCCCCTGGGCTCTGCCACAGGTGGCTGGCRAAACCTGAGGCCTCATCCCGGACCTCCCGCTCCTCGTCTTGCAGAAGGTGAATGGCCACRTTTATCAGCCTGAGGAAAGGGAAGAGAAGGGAAGGGAAGCATAACGCACATCCTTAAGCATCCCAGCCTGCCCAGAGGGAAGGGAAGGATGAGACTTCTGAGGAATTTCTCCCAGCCTGTCAAAGACACAACCACCCAAGAGCCTGCAGCTTGGGARGGAAGGGCTGTGCCAGGGATTGGGGGACCCAGCAATGCCATCTGCTACTCATAAGGGACTGGCTGCTTAAATTAAAATGCCACCCACACATTTTTTTGTTGACTGTGAGCTCTTGAGTGCTAGAGATTTTTGAATGAGTGGGGTTTTCYTCAGTACCCTTGAGATTTTGCAGGGGACACCTTTTGCAGAGTCCATTAACCTGCAGCGGGCTGGGGCTGTGGGAGCAGCACTGCTGGGAGCTGGCACAAGAACAGGCACCCCAGGGATGGGACAGTGACCTACCTCAGAGCCACGGGGACGAGCGAGGGACGGGCAGCACGCAGGGATCGCTGCACCACGGCAGCCCCCGCTGTCTGCAGGGAGYGGGCAGCCGCCAGCCGCAGCACCTCGGACCACGTGGAGCGGCTGCACTCCTCCAGCACCGCACACCAGCGCTCCACCAGTGCACCATCCTCATCCCCAAACCTGCCAGAGGCCAGGGAAGGAGGAGAGTTCAAGCACACCTTCCTGTTCCATGTAGGGGACCAAAGGCCACTGGCTGCCCTGAGACTGCAGGACCCAGGTGCAATGGTGTGATTTATGGGAGAGACGTTTGGCTCTGTTTCCAGCAAGGACTAAGGAAGAATCTGTGGGAGAGCTGGGCAGCCCCCAGCAGCAGCAGGGACCTACCGGTGGGTGAGCAGCAGGCTGGCAGCACACAGCACTTGGAAGAGGAGATCAGGGCCAGGACACTCAGCCTCCGCCATGTGCAGCAGCATCTCCAGACATGATGCTGAGGAGCCCTGGAGCTTGCTGGAAGCTTCCTGGGACCATGACAAGGGATCTCTGTAAAGATGCAGCAAAGCCTCAAGGTACAATCTCAGGAACTCTTTATCCCTTCTCTCCTGCAGCACCGASCGCAAGTTCTCCTAGTTGACAACAGAAAGAAGGTACATGGTTAGTGCTCCCAGMACTCCAGGACTGGGCCAGTGCCCTCACCCCCGCGCCCTCAGCATGGGGAGCACCAGCCTTCTCCACAATGGGATCCCAGGGGTCCCCTCTGCGTAGTGCACTGGRGTCCCCCTGCTTTACGTGGTGACTTATGAGCCCCATCATACCAGCAACGTCAGCCCAAGAGCATTCTCCAGCTCCTTGCACGTTCCTCCCTCCCCCTCGATCACCCAGCTCAGGATGGCCAGCCGGATGTCAGGGTTGGGCTGCTGGAGAAGTGAGCACACAGCAGCGATCTGCTCGCTGTCTGCCAGCCGGGCCGCCTCACTGCACACGAAGTGGGCCATGGTTTGGTGGAGGACGGCTGAGCCCACCTGCAGGAAAACCAGGATTGAGCCTGGAGCGATGGCTCTGCCTGACCCTGCCCGGGCTCCCTGCCAGGCAGGCTCTGGCYGTGCTTTTCCAAACAGAAAGCAGTACCTGTGGCTCGGCACAGCCCGGCTTTGCCCCCTGCAGGAGGCTGCCCAGCTCGGCACTGATGGTGTCACGGATGTGCTGGGTGAAGCTGGGGCTCAAGGACRCGGGCAGCAGGGCGAGCACCTGGAGGAAGGCGGCGCGGACGAGCGGGCAGCGCTGGGCAGGGGTGAGCAGCCAGCCCCTCGCCTCCAGCTGCAGAGCCACGGGACGCAGCAGCCTGCAGGGAGACACGGCCTCACCACGGGCACGGCACCAAGCTGGGCACCTGTCTGTGCCCAAAAAGCTGCAGAGTGAMCCCAGGTGGGGGGACAGCACGGACACACTCACCCCGCGCTGCCCGTGGCCGAGGCCAGCAGCGCCYGCATCTGCAGCAGGTGCCCGTGGACGGCGTTGTGCGAGCGGATCCGGCCGGGTGCCRCAGGGAGCTGCCGTGCCAGCTGCACCAGGAGCCCATAGCGCTGGGGTGGGGGCACAACGGGCACCAGGGCCTTGGCAGCCATTGCTCGGATGGCGTAGATGGGGCTCTCTGCCAGCCCCAGCAGTGGCTCCAGGAAGGGAGCAGAGGGGCTGTGGAGCAAAAGGGCACCACGTGGTGATGCTCTGGCTGGAGTAAAATGTCCCAGGAGCCAGGGCCAGCCTGGGCCCCATGGCACCCTTTCCCACTGCAAGAGCCCCTGGCTGAGGCAGAGCATCCCCAGTSCCCCATACCTGCCGGGACTGTCAGCACCAGGCTGCAGCTGGGCCAGGAGGGTGAGGATGGCGTGGAGTGCGGGGTGCAGGCGGGGCCCCCCCGACATGGGTGCTGTGGCCACCTTGAGCTCTCCCAG